GCAACCCACATATAATTAATATATATATATATATATATATATAAAATCCCGCCTTGTTATGCTGCATGTGCATAAATCAATAGTGACAACAGCACGGTAGAAACCTCGTGCAACCCCATAACAACAACCGCACGGCAGAAACCTCGTGCACCAACACCAAAAGTACAACAGCAGAAATGACAGTAATACAAAGTACGACGAGTAAATCAACTAAAGAACTCTAAATCACAAAGACGCGGTAGAACCAGTTCACAAGGAATAACCACAGTAAAGAATAATAGGCATAAATAAGAACAGTTCAACCAGGGAGAAAATAATACATAACAATGATTTCGCAATATACAGTCCAACAACAAGGAAGCTAACACGAGCCATATAATTACAAACAAGGACATGTCAACTAGGATATAGGGCGTCTAAACTTCTTTTAAGGTTGGGAAATTATTAAGAGTTCACACAATTTCAGTTTAGGATAAGCAGCGGGGAGATGATCATAACCTCGATTAAGACTAAACAAATACAGGATGAGATAGTAATAAATTCAGTTAGAGATAAGCAGTTGTGAAAAGATAACATGACGATAGAAGAGGCAAAATATTCAGTTAAGTTGAATAAGAGTCAAATAAGCAATAAGAGTAAATCATACGGCAATTAATTCAAATTGAAGCATGTAGGAGCGAAACCAACAAATAGGAACTCAAACATATCACGAACAACTTTATACACAGTAAACATAAGGACCTAAACCCTAAAGGCCAACTTTCCACAGATAAGTCCGAGCACGCACTTGTCACCTCGCGTACACGGATTACAATCAACATAGAAGACTCAAATCCTAAGGGGAAGTCCCCCACACAAGGTTAGGCAAGATATTTACCTCAAAGACGACATATCGATACTCTAAAATGCACTTCTCGGGTGAAAAGACCTCCGGACGGCTCAAATCCAACCAAAATAACTTCAAGGCACACATAAAACACATAAGAAACTATTCCGGATCATAAAGTCTCAATCTTTAACAAAATCCAAAAATCGGTCCAAAAGTCGACCCCCGGGCCCACACCTCGGAACCCGACAATTTTTTATAAAATCCAAATACCCATTCCCATACGAGTTCAACCACACAAAAATTATCAAATTCCGATATCATTTGGTCCCTCAAATCATGATTTTTCATTTTAGAAATTTTCTTCAAAAACCAACATTTTGCTCAACCTAAAACACAAATTAAATGATAAAAATAAAGATAAAATCATGGAATATGTTAGATTCTAGGTTAAGAACACTTACCCAGTCGATTTTCTTGAAAAACCCTAAAGAATCTCCCAAATCTGAAGTTTAAAACTCAAAATATGAAGAAATGACCAAACTCTCGACTTATATGATTCTGCCAGAACTTCCGCATCTGTGGACAAGAAACGGCATCTATGAACTTTGGCTAATTGGTCTGGGACCGCATCTGTGGATATACAGCCAAACCCGCGGCACTGCAGAAGCGAAAGGGGAAACCTCTTGAGCGTAAATTCTCCACATGTGGGATCGCTGGACTGCAGAGCGGCCATCGCACCTGCGTACCAGCCTCCGCAAAAGTGTGCAAGATCCCAGGCCTTCATGGCCGCAGAAGCGGCTGGGATCACGCAGAAGCGGAGCCGCACCTGCTCTCTAAGGTCGCAGGTGTGAAAACACCAGAACCAAACCTGTTTAAAACTATGCAAAACATCCGAACCTCGTCCAAATCACACCCGAGGCCCCTGGGACCCCGTCTAAACACATAAACAAGTTCTATAGCCTAAAACAGACTCGTTCGAGGTCTCAAATCATATCAAACAACACCGAAAATGCAAATCGCGCCATGAATCGAACTATGGACTTCTAAATCTTCCAACTTTGAAAACGCGTGCCTAAACCGATCAAATCAACCTGGAATGACGCCAAATTTTGCAGACAAGTCCCAAATGACAAGACGGAGCTGTTCCAACTCTCGGAATTGCATTCTGACCCAGATAGCACAAAAGTCAACTGTGGGTCAAACCTTTCCATTTTCCAAACTTCAACTTTTTCATACTTTCGTCGATTTGCCTCAAATTACTCTACGGACCTCCAAATCCAAATCCGGACGCGCGCCTAAGTCCAAAATCACCATACAAAGCTGTTAAGATCATCCAAAACCCATTCCGGAGTTGTTTACTCCAAAGTCCAATTCGGGTCAAATTCTCATTGTTTAAGCTTCCATAACAAGATTCCTTCTCCCAATTCGATTCCGAATCATCCGGTAACTGAATTCAACCATGCACGCAAGTCGGTACACATATATGAAGTCGTTCAAGACCTTACACCGCTGAACAGAGCTTAAATTCTCAAAACGACCGGTCGGGTCGTTACATCCCCCCTCTTAAAACAAACGTTCGTCCTCGAACGTGCCAAGATTCCCCTCGAAGTCCTCAAATCACTGAGTGCACACTTAAAACATACACCCGAGGGTGACCCCACATCATCCCAATCCACACAAGCCTGACGACACCATCCTAACTCAATTTAGCCTTTCTACCAATACCAATAAGCCTTAGCCAAAATTCCCACCTCCCATTCATTTCCAAGAGACCTGATTCTAAATCCATATCCGGTATCAGTCTCAACTAGCTGCAAACACTATGCCTACAACCACAGAGTACAACCACACAACATACACACCACCCATAGGCCTATAATAACATTCCCGATCATGATCTGCCCGAAATCAAACCCTGCACCGGCCACTAGTCTCATATCCAATAGAACTCTATTTTAAACCTCGATAATATTGACAATGATGCAAGAAACACGAAGACCTCATAGCCAAACACACGAATCAACAAGTCACAACTGACACAACCGGGCACACACCCCGCAAGCTAAAACTCAAGAAGCACAGAACGAAAATGACTGAATATTGAAAGAGGAACACATAAGGGAACTATCAAACAAGCCCGACAAGCACAATTTTCTATCAATACTAACCTACAAAACAATATAACAAGAAAGAATTCAAGCATATAAGCAAATCAGAAGGATCTCATACTGATATAACTTCCACCGCGGTACACAACCTAGTTCAAACACATCAAATCACATGAAATCGCGAGGGTCCCGCCCTCCACTCTGAATCACAAGTAGGGTATACATCAACTAGTTGGAACCTCTCACTAGATCAATTCCGTCAACAAAATTACAAGACGTGCTGGCTTCCACACTGGTGGAGCATACAACAAATCATAGCTCGTAGCCAAAATACTCAGAAATCACATCAAGCCTACCGTAATGGACAGTAGGAATTTACTAGTAATCTCATAACTCTCAATAAGGAATAGAAACAGACGATAGACACGGGCTATCACTCATAAGAACCTCCCAAAAAGGGCAACATATAAATAGAGTTCTAATCACGAAATGCACCCACAAGTGGAGCAACAAACAGGGGAACTCACCCTGATAAGCAGAGCTATAATGATCTACGGATGGTGCTTCTTTATAACAAACCAAAATCATACCTGAATGACATCACCCGGCGCAGCATCCTCAAGCCTACCATACGAAACACATCAACACGTTGGGCCTCCCCCTCTTGGTCACCCCCTACTCGCATGAATACCCCGCTGTGACACAACAGCCCGAAGTTTGGGACAATCTAACCATATGGCTAGTATCTCCACACACAAAGCAACCTCTCTACTGACGTGGCTGTGGGAACTGTGCGATACGGGTGCTCCGAGACCCATGAACATCTAAATCACTGTGCGAAGCCTGAAACGCAAACTGAACTGGCTGACCCACAAAGTCTCTACCATATCGCACCCTTCCTCCAAAATAAGGACCAGCGGATCTCCCCGGTCTACGAGGCCCCCTCGCCTCCTTGTACTCTCTCTCCTGAGCTCGCATGCCCTCTCTCTCATGTCCCCACCTGTCCTCTCTCTCCTGGCCTCGCCTGACCTCTCTCCCCCCTCTCTCTCTCTCTCTCGAGCCAGCATGCCCTCCACCCTCCTAGCAATACTCATGGTCTGCTGATACGAAATATCCATCTCCAACTCCCGGTCCATGCTAGTCCTGATGCTGGGATGGAGCCCTAAATAAACCGGCGAACCCTTTCCCGAATAGTAGAAACCAAGGTCGGTGCATGTCCGGCCAAATCGCTGAATCTGACGGTGTACTCTGATACTGATATAGTGCCCTGGCGCAACTGCTCAAACTCCACACGCCATGCATCCCGAAAGGACTAAGGTACGAACTCTCTCAGGAACATCTCTGAAACTGAACCCATGTAAGTGAAACTGACTCGGCCGGGCTACCCAACTCATATGCCGGCCACCACTGGTAAGCCGCTCCGCTAAGTTGGAACGTAGTAAAAGTAACCCCACTCGACTCAACAATACCCATAGTGCGGAGAATGCGATGGCACCCCTCCAGGAAACCCTGTGCACTCTCTGAAGCCAAACCACTGGATGTAGGAGGGTCGTATTTCTTGAACCTTGCAAGTCTAAGCTGATCTTCTTCAGATGTTGTTGTCCTGACTACGGGCTAAACTGGAACCACAGGTTGTGCCGCCATGACGCCCGGAACCTGGCCAACATGAACTCGCTGCTCTGGAGTGTGGGCGTTAGGGGTGGGCATCGGCCGGTTCGGTCGGTTATTATAAAAATACGGTTCGGTTTTTCGGTTTTCGGTTTTGTAATATTAATAACCAAATCAAACCAAAGTATTTACGGTTCGGTGCGGTTTTTTCAAAGTTCGGTTCGGTTATTTCCGGTTTATATTTTCGGTTTCAAACGGTTGTAGACTTATAGGAACATCGAAGTATTTACATTTTACAGTTTGTAATAAGTTCAATATTATGTGATTTGTCCAATTATAATGCTAGTATTGTATGCCTGAAACAGTTACGGTTTGTAATTAAGTAGTAGTAGGGTAGTTATATCTCGATAATTATCACTAAGGATGTGATTTGTCCATACGGTCTGTAGGAACATTATCCAAGTGCCTACTGTCTTAAGCTGGCCATCTTATCTGATAACAATCATCTTCTTCCGTCGTGCAGTGCACTGTCACCCTCGTTATTGGTCTTATTCCCAGACCAATAATTCACTGTAATCACTCACCTTCATACTCTTGCTGGGTAATTTTTCTTTTCATTTTTCGTTTTCTTCTTTCCCTTTCTTGTGAAGCTTTAACTTCCATCTGATTTTCATGTCGCCCTTCCCATGTACCATTTGAATCTCAAAATTAAGGTCTTTTTGACGTCAATCTTTTTGTTTACTTTTATATATTGTTCAAAAGATGGTTATCAAGAATCATTCTTTATGTTATATATTCTTTTTGCAGGAAAATAAAATGGGAGAGATGTCTTGTAAACTGCTTTTGCAAATTATCGTAGTTGTCTCAGTATTGTATCCTAAAGTATTGGTAAATTGTAGTGATTCTAAAGATGTGAGTGAATGGTTTTGTTATCAAGAATGCGTGGACGCATATCAGAATTTCTCTATCCTCTGTAAGTATTGATCCTTTCTTTAATGGTCTAAGTGAGCACTCTCTATATAATTAATGCCTTTGTTTCACTTTTCCTTGCTCTTAAGAGTGATCGATCTGTTAAAACAATTTTGTTTCGTATGAAGAAATGCATCCTCCTGAATTTCGGTTTTTCTGTTTAACCGAAAACCGAAATACAAAAACCATAAACCGCACCGAAAAATCGAAAATTAATAATTTTAAAACCGTGCACCGACCGAAAAACCAATTAAACCGAAACCGAAATACCGAAATTCACGGTTCGGCCGGTTTTTTCGGTTCGATCGGTATTATGCCCACCCCTAGTGGGCAGTGGGAGTCTGAGTCCCTTCTCCAGTCTGTGAAGTAGCTAGTGCAACCGGAATCAACCCCGCCTGAGCCAATGTACCAAACATGCTCAGAAACTGTGATAAGGTCTCCTGAAGAGCGGGGGTAACAGAAGGCACCCTCGGTACCTGCCCCCTAACTGGAGCTACTGGCGGCTCCTTAACAGCTGCTCTGGTAGGTGCTCTAGCTGTAGCACGTACTCCTCGTTGACCTCTGCCTCTGCCTCCAGCGACCCTTGCTTTGGGAGCAGCATCGTCGGTAACTACAGCGCGTGTCCTCACCATCTGTGAGAGAATAGAATGATAAAAGTTCAGACAGCGAGATCAATAAGCTCGCACCATAGGATTGAAAGAAGTGAGATTGTCCTAATAGTTCCGTAGCCTCTCGAAGATAAGTATAGACGTCTCCGTACCGATCCGCAAGACTCTACAAAACTCGCTTATGACTCGTAGCACCTATGAACATAGAGCTTTGATACCAACTTGTCACGACCCAAATTTCTCCTCCATTGGGTCTCGTGATGGTACCTAGTCTTAGGGACTAGGTAAGCCTAACATTAAATGAAAACATTAACAACATTTAAATAACACCTAACAAATTTGAAATAGAAATCTCTTTAAACTTTACAACCCCAAAACCAGTAGTACAAGCCATAAGCTCTACAGAGTTTGCTACAACTGCTAAATACAACTGTTGGAAATAAGTAAGAACAAAGTGTATACAAAATAGGAAGGTGACTCCGAAGCCTGCGACCGTAGCAACAAGTTTACCTTGAGTCTCCATTCGCGTAGGCAAAGCTCTGCGAAGCATCGCGTTTTGAAGGAGGAAGTTTGGCAGAATATAAAATATCAAAAGCGAGGGTTAGACTTATTTTTCATAATTTGATATTGGGAGCTCGGGTTGAGGCGATTCTTGGAGGGTTTTTCAAGGAAATGGTTAGGGTAAGTGGTTCTAACTCAGATTTGGATAAATTACATGAATATATCATTGTTTTCATCATTTAATTGCTGTTTTGGGTTGAAAAAATGAGGAACAATTGTAGAAACTTCATAGGCTTTAATTTGAGGATTTGAAGGTCGAGTTGTGATCGGATTTGAGTAATTTTAGTATGGTTGGACTCGTGGCCGAATGGGTGTTCGGATTTTGTAATTTTGATCGAGTTCCGAGATGCAGTCCCGGATTGACGTTTTGAGTTGACTTTATTTCTTTGCAAAGATTGTAACTTTATGATTCGAAATAATTTCCTATAGCTAATATTTATGGTATGAAGTTGTTTTGGCTAGATTCGAGCCGTTCAGAGTTGGATAATCGAGGAAAAGGTCTCCTAATGGATTGATTTAGCGTGTTTTGAGGTAAGTGTCTTGCCTAACCTTATGTGCAGGAATTTTCCCTTAGGATTGGTGTTGTTTGTGATAACTGTGATGTGTGAAAGCCGTGTATGCAAGGTGACGAGTGTGTGCACGGGCTAAATGTAGAAATTTACCGGTTTTATCTATGTATATTCCTTTCATGCCTTAATCGTGTTAACTTAACATGTTATATTCATCATTTTTAGGCTATCTTCACATGCTTTACTTGTCTTATCTGTTACTTGTTAATTGCCTACATGTCAGTTGAAGTTGTTGTTTCCTCTATTCTTTATTCATTATTTAACTGTAAATTCTTTACTTGAAGTTGTTATTCTTGGAATATCTTGTTGATGAAACTAGTATTGAGTTATAAAGGCCGTGATTCACATTGAGGCAAAGTGTTAAGTTGTGAAATATTACTCTGTTGAGTTATTCACTTTCGGTTGTTATTGATGAGACTCTTGTGTACATTGTAGATGAGCCATAGGATTTTTATTGTGAAAACACTGTTATTGTTGATCCTTTGGCAAGTTGTGATATTGAGCACTTGAGGTGCGATTTGTGATACATTGTCATATTGATACGCATGCGGTGGTATGAGGATTTGGGGTTGAAACTCAGGCAATAAGATAAGGTGGGCTTGTTACGCGTGACTAGTATGGGAACTACTAGAAGCCATGCGGTGTGATAAGGTGGGCTAAAATGCGGGATGCTATTTCAGGAAAAATAATTTTCAAAACTAAATGCATGGCTCCCGCGGTGATATAAGGAAAGATTGTGAATTGATTTGTTATTTGAGACTACGAGGCAGTACCTCGGTAGTGATTCTTGTTGATACTTTCTATTTCTTCACTTGTGTTTTTTTATTTTGTTCTGCGTCATAACATACCTTGTTTTCCTTCTGTGATGCATTATTTGCCTTAGTTCAATATAGGTATTCTCGGTGTATTTCTTTAATTGTCTCATTTCTATTGTTAAATTTTTTTCACTATTATACACTTGTTCAGTTTCTTATTTATTCCAGTAGGGCCTTGACCTGACTTCATCACTACTCTATCGAGGTTAGGCTTGGCACTTACTGGATACCGTTGTGGTGTACTCATGCCACGCTTCTGCACATCTTTTTGTGCAGATCCAGGTACCTTCTACCAGTCCAGGCATCAATGAGTTGAGTTCGTACTCGAAGACTTCAAGGTACACCTGCCGGCGTCCGCAGTCACCCTCTATCTATTTCTATATTTTCCTCCTTTTATTAGATACAGTTGTATAGGGATGGCAATGATATTGTAGAGCTTGTGACTCGATATCACCAGGTTTTGGAAAAATTTTATATATTGAGATATGGAGCATTCTTTTATTAAAATTCATTGAATATTTGAGATTTTATTTGTTATATCAGTTATATTCCGCATGTTTGTTAGGCTTACCTAGTCTTAGAGATTAGGTTCCATTACGACATCCTACGGAGGAAAATTCAGGTTGTGGCAAGTTGGTATTAGAGTTCTAGGTTCATAGGTGTTATGAGTCACAAGCAAATTTAGTAGAGTGTCACGGATCGGTACAGATACGTCTGTATCATCTTCGGGAGGTTATGGAACTTTTAAGAAAAGATTCACTTTTTCATTCCTTATCATGTGAATTTGTTGACTTCGAAATTCTAAATATCCGTCTTTCTATTCTCTCACAAATGGTAAGGACATGCATAGCTAGATCAGATGATCAGACACCTATACCCCCTGCTAGAGCCGCGAGAGGCCAGGGTCGGGGCAGAGGTCGAAGACGGGCATGTGGTGCAGCCAGAGCACCGGCCCGAGCCGCTACAAAGTAGCCACCAGTAGCTCCAATTGGAGGGCAGGCATCTGATGCGCCTGTTACTTCCCCTACACTTCAGGAGACCCTCGCCCAGTTTTTGAGTATGTTTGGAACTCTAGCCTAGGTAGGGTTGATCCCACTTGCTCCTGCCATATCTCGGGCCGGGGTAGGAGCACAGACTCCTGCAGCCCATACTCCAGAGCAGCGAATCCAGGTTGACCAGGTCCCAGAGGTCATACCAGTACAGACGGTTGTCCCAGTTCAGCCTAAGGTTAGGGCAGCAGCTTCGAGGGGGAGCAGCTCAGGCTCGAGAGGTACATAAGTACCACCCTACTACTTTCGGCGGGTTGGCTTCAGATGATGCCTAGGGTTTTCTTGAGGAGTGCCATTGTATCCTCCGTACTATGGGTATTGTGGAGTCGGGTGGGGTTGTTTTCACTACGTTCCATCTTAAGGTAGCGGCTTATCAATGGTGGCGAACATATGAGTTGGGTAGCCCGGCCGAGGCGGCTTCACTCATTTGGGCTCAGTTCTCAGATATGTTCATGAGGGAGTTTGTTCCCTTGAGTCTTAGGGATGCATGGAGTGCAAAGTTTGAGCAATTGCACCAGGGTGCTATGACCGTATCAGAGTATGTTGTTAGGTTCAAAGAGTTGTCCAGACATGCACCTACATTAGATTCCACAGTCAGAGAGCGAGTCCGTCGATTTATCGAGGGGCTCAACCCTGGTATTAGATTCAGCATGGCTTGAGAGTTGGAGATGGATATCCCATACCAGTAGGCTGTGGAGCTCGTTTAGAGATTAGATGGTATGTGGGCCCGGGAGAGAGAGGAGAGGGACTCCAAGAGACCTCGAGATTCTAACACATATAGTGGTGCTCGTGCCCTAGTTGCAGCCCGTCATCGTAGGGGCTATGTGAGCCGCCCTATTCATTTAGCACTTCCGGCTTCCAGCGATGTTCCGACCACTCCCAGGTCTCAGGTTGCCCATTATGCACCGCCACTGTCTACTGCACCTCCTCCACAAGGTGATTTAATGGTCAGTCCAGCCGATTAGGCCCGAGCCAGTTCCAGCAGCCACGTCTTACGAGAGCTTGTTTTGAGTATAGTGACACTCGTCATATAGTGAGGGACTACCCCAAACTCAGGAGGGGTGCAACTCCACAGACTACTCAGGCCCCACATATTCCACCGGGTCCTTAGGCTTCTCAGGTCGTCGTTACCGCACCAGTTGCCACTCCACCAGCACAGCCAACTAGAGGTGGAGGTCGGGTGGGTAGAGGTCGCCCTAGAGGGGGAGGCCAGGCTAGTTTTTATGCTCTTCCTACTAGGACGGAGGCGGTTGCATCCGACTCAGTTATCACATATATTGTCTTGTTTGTTATAGAGATGCATCAGTCTTATTTGATCCAAGCTCCACTTATTCTTATGTATCATCTTACTTTGCTCCATATTTGGGTATATCCCGTGCTTTTTTGAGTTCTCCTATCTATGTGTCCACACCTGTGGGAGATTCCATTCTTGTTGACAGTGTGTATCGGTCGCTTTTAGTTGTTCTTGGTGGTTTTAAAATCGGAGACGACTTATTGTTGCTCAGTATGGTAGATTTTGATGTTATCTTGGGTATGGACTAGTTGTCGCCCTATCATGCTATTCTTGATCGTCATGCCAAGACGGTGACAGTGGCTATGCCAGGTTTGCCTCGGTTGTAGTGGATGGGTTCTTTGTATAATGTTCCTAGCAGGGTGGTATCTTTCCTTAAGGCACAACAGATGGCTGAGAAAGGGTGTGAGGCATATATAGCCTTTGGAAGAGATATAAGTGTTGATAATCCTACCTTTGAGTCAGTTCTGGTACTAAGGGACTATCCAGATGTGTTACTAGCGGATCTTTCGAGCATGCCGCCCATTAGGGATATCGATTTTGGTATTGATCTATTGCCGGGAACTCAACCCATCTCTATTCCACCATATCGTATGGACCCAGCGGAGCTGAAAGAGTAAAAGGAGCAGTTGCAAGAGTTGCTTGATAAGGGTTTCATTCGGCCTAATGTCACCTTAGAGTGCTCCGATCTTGTTTGTAAAAAAGAAGGATGGTTCTATGAGCACGTGTATTGATTATCGATAGTTAAACAAAGTTATAATGAAGAACATGTATCCATTGCCATGCATTGATGACATTTTTGATCATCTACAGGGTGCCTAAGTGTTCTCAAAGATTGATTTGCATTTAGGCTATCTTCAGTTGAAGATTCAGGAGCCGGATATTTCGAAGACTGCCTTCAGGACTCGATATGGTCATTACGAGTTCCTTGTTATGTCATTTGGGCTGACCAACACCCCAACAACATTCATGTACTTGATGAATAGTGTATTACAGCCCTATCTCTACTCATTCATCATTGTGTTTATTGATGACATCTTGGTGTACTCCCAGAGCTGAGAGGATCATGAGCAACACCTGAGGACCGTGCTCCAGACCTTGAGACAAAAGAAGTTGTATGCAAAATTTTCAAAGTGTGAATTCTGGCTTGATTCGGTGGCATTTTAGGGTCATGTAGTGTCGAGTGAGGGGATCAAGGTAGATCCGAAGAATATTGAAGTAGTGCAGAGTTGGCCTAGGCAGTGTTCAGCTACTAAGATCTGGAGATTTCTTGGTTTGGCAGGGTATCACTGTCGATTCGTGGAGAGTTTCTCATCTATTGCTGCACCTATGACCAGATTGACCCAAAAGAGTGCTCCGTTCAGGTGGACCGAGGAGAGTGAGGAGAGCTTTCAAAAGCTCAAGATTTCTTTGACTACAGCCCCAGCATTAGTGTTTCCTATGGGCATGAGGTCTTATACTATATACTGTGATGTGTTGCGTGTTGGCCTCGGCGCGGTGTTGATGTAATACGGTAGGGTGATCGCCTATGCGTCTAGGCAGCTGAAGGTGCATGAGAAGAACTATCATGTCCATGACCTTGAGTTAGCAGCTATTGTTCATGCCTTGAAGATTTGGCGGCACTATTTGTACGGTGTCCCTTGTGAGGTCTATACCGACCACCAAAGTTTGCAGCATTTGTTCAAACAGAAGGATCTTAACTTGCGGCAGTGGAGATGGTTAGAGTTTATTAAGGACTATGATATCACCATTCTATATCATCTCGGGAAGGCCAATATGATGGCCGATGCCTTGAGTCAAAAGGTGGAGAGCTTGGGCAGTTTATCATATCTATCGGCAGCGAAGAGGCCATTACCATTGGATGTTCAGGGCTTGGCCAACTAGTTTGTTAGATTGGATGTTTCGGAGCCGAGTCGAGTTTTTGGCCTGTGTGGTCTCTTGGTCTTCCTTATATGATCGTATCAGAGAGCGTCAACATGACAACCCCCATTTGCTTGTCCTTAAGGACGCGGTTCAACATGGCGATGCCAAGGAGGTCACTATCAGTGATGACGGTGTGCAAGGCAGGCTACGTGTACCCAATGTAGATGGTTTGCGTGAGTTGATTCTTCAGGAGGCCCACAGTTCGCATTACTCCATTCATCTGGGTGCCACCAAGATATATCAGGACTTGAGGCAACACTAGTGGTAGAGAAGAATGAAGAAGGACATAGTGGAGTATGTAGTGCCTAAATTGTCAGCAGGTGAAGTGTGAACATCAGCGACCAGGTGGATTGCTTTAGAGGCTAGAGATTCCAGAGTGGAAGTGGGAGTGGATTACTATGGATTTTGGTGTAGGGATCCCACGGACTCAGAAGAAATTCTAAGAAGTATGGGTGATTGTGGATAGGTTGACCAAGTCGGCTCATTTCATTCCATTGGTGACTATTTATTCTTCAGAGCAGCTGGCTTAGGTCTATATTCGCGAGATCGCCAGGCTTTAGGGCATGCCGATATCCATCATCTTTGACCGAGGTACGCAGTTTACATCACGGTTCTGGAGGGCTGTACAGCATGAGTTAGGCACAAGGGTGGAGTTGAGTACGATATTTCACCCTCGGACGGACGGGCAGTCTGAGCACACTATTCAGATGTTAGAGGATATGCTTCGTGCATGTGTGATGGAGTTTGGGGGTTCTTGGGATTAGCTATTTTTGCTTGCGGAATTTGCCTACAACAACAACTACCAGTCAAGCATTCGGATGGCTCTATATGAGGCCTTGTATGGGAGGCAGTGTCAGTCTCCGGTGGGTTAGTTTGAGCCGAGTGAGGCTAGGCTATCGGGTACAGACACATCCTATGATGATATGGAAAAGATTAAATTGATTCAAGATTGACTTTGTACATCCCAATCTAGACAAAAGAGTTATGCGGATCGGAAGGTTCACGATGTTGCATTCATGGTTGGGGAGCGGGTCTTGTTCCGGGTTTCGCCCATGAAGGGTGTTATGAGGTTCGGGAAGAAGGGCAAATTGAGCCCTAAGTATATCAGACCTCTTGAGATTCTTGAGAGGATTGGAGAGGTGGCCTACAAGCTTGCACTGCCACCTAGTCTAGCTGTAGTTCATCCAGTATTCCATGTTTCTATGCTCTGGAAGTATCATGGTGATCCGTCTCATGTGATAGACTTTAGCTCAGTCCAATTGGACAA